TTGGAGAAGGAACTTTCATCCACCAGGAAGGGTGCTACCAGCATGTACTGGGCAGAAGCCAGAATGCTGCCAGTTATCCTACATTGCACACAACAGTCTCCCATGGCAAAGAACTGATCCAACCCAAAATGTCAATGCTGCAAGGCTGACAAACCCTGGTTGAACCTACTAATTCCATCCCGTTGATTCGCTTTTCTTCTTCAGGAATTCCATGCACATGTATATTGTTTCTTCTTCCATCTTAACCAGTTTCACTCAGATATTTTTAACTGACTCTTCATCTCTTTTTTTCTGTTGGATGCTTTCTTGCCTTTCCTCAAAGTCCCTTATTAAAAATTTTTAAAAGATTTATTTTAGAGAGAGAGAAAGAAGGTGAGCAAGTGTGTGAGTGGAGGGAGGGGAGCAGAGGGAGAGGGAGAAAGAGACTCTCCAGCAGACTCCCCATAGAGTGCGGAGCCAGACGCGGGGCTTGATCTCACAACCCCAAGACCATGACCTGAGCCAAAACCAAGAGTCAGATGCTTAACTGACTGAGCCACCCAGGTACCCCTGTTCCTTCTTAAAATTTTATTTGAATCTCTTTTCCCTTTCGCACAGTGTAATTCTTATTTTCTAAATGAAATTTCCATTTATTTTTTCACTGTCAATTTTATTTGTATTTATTTTTTAAATTTCTGTATGAAGACAGCTTTTCATATCCTCAAATGATTTTCTTCTGTTTTGTAGTTGATTTGGTATTTTGTATTCCTATTATTTTGGTGCTTATTTTGATTTTTCTTTTGACTCTTATTTTCATTAAAGTATTTTGATTTTTATTTTCTGTTTTGTTAGTTTCTTTAAACATTTATCTGGTTTTCGTCCATTCATTTGATGGATTTGGTGTGGTTTGCAATATTTTTAGTTCAATGCTGCCCCCTTCTGTCAGTGTAGCAAAGTACAGCACTTTCTCTAATGAAGCTGTTTTCTTATGGCAGGTGATTGTTACCAGAGGGGTTGTGTAACTTCTACTCAATTCATTCCTTCTGTCTTTCAGAATATTAATTGTTCCTCTTGCCCTCATTTTTTTTTTTTCATCACCCAACCTCCAAACGGTGACTCTTTCCTTTAAACTTCTTTTACACAGTCAGTGCTGTTCAAAGACTGCCACCTCAAATCATGGTGCTTTTTAATTCCTTCTCTGCAGAGATTTCATTCTGTTACAACATATTCATTTAAGATTACATATTTTCCTCTAGGCATTATTGTACCTCATTCCCATACACTTTGCTACTATATCACTATTATCATTCAGTTCAAGATATTTTCTAGTTTCCTTTATGATTTTTCTTTGGCCCATGACTCATTCATAAATATATTTTTACATTTCCAAATACATGATTTTCTAGGGTGTTTTGATGTGTCATAATGGTCTTCTGGTCAAAAAACATACTCTGTATGATTTAAAATATTTGAGTGATGTATACAATTGATGAATCACTATATTGTACATCTGAAACTAATATAACACTGTATGTTAATCACACTGAAATTAAAATAAAAAAATAAATAAATATCTAAGCCAAAAAAAATTTAAAAATAAATATTTGAAAAATTTCTCATTGTTTTATGGTACAGTATGTGGTCATTTTTATTAATGGTCCTTGCAAAAACATGTATTTATATATGTCTATTAGGCCAATTTGTTAATTGTGCTGTCTTATTCTACTATATGTAGTTTTGTCTATACTAAATCCCCCAATATCCTGTTCTCTTGTTAATTGCCACACAGTTTACAATGACTCCTATCAGCAAGAGTCATGAACAGATATTTCAGTGCCTTTACAGATTAAAAAAAAAAAAAATCTATGTTTAGCATAGAGGTCACCCAAATCCATCTAACATTTTTAATGTTATATCCTAATAAGTATTGAATCCTTGCCAAATCAACTGCTGCTACATGATCGGTATAATTTCCGTATCTTTTCTGGAAATCACATATAAACATAAGTAAGAATAAGAGCTATGTTAGAGACAGAACGAACAAGCAAGTAAACCAATGGATCTACTGTTAAAAAGCTTTTGCACAGCTAAAGGAAACAGTCAACAAAACCAAAAGACAACCGACAGAATGGGAGAAGATACTTGGAAATGTCTTACCAGATAAAGGGCTAGTATCCAAAATCTATAAAGAACTTACCAAACTCAACACCAAGGAACAAATAATCCAATCAAGAAATGGGCAGAAGACATGAACAGACATTTATCCAAAGAAGACATCCAAATGGCCAACAGACACATGAAAACGTGCTCAGCGTCACTCGGCATCAGGGAAATATAAATCAAAATCACAATGAGATACCACCTCACACCAGTCAGAATGGCTAAAACTAACAAGTCAGGAAATGACAGATGTTGGCAAGGATGCGGATAAAGGGGAAACTTCCTACACCGTTGGTGGGAATGCAAGCTGGTGCAGCCACTCTGGAAAACAGTATGGAGGTTCTTCAAAAAGTTGAAAATAGAGCTACCCTATGACCCAGCAATTGCACTACTGGGTATTTACCCCAAAGATACAAATGTAGTAATCTGAAAGGGCACCTGCACCCCAATGTTTATAACAGCAATGTCCACAATAGCCAAACTATGGAAAGAGCCCATCAACAGATGAATGGATAAAGAAGATGTGGCATATATATATATATATATATATATATATATATATATACACACACACACACACACACACAATGAAATATTATGCGACCATAAAAAAAATAAAATCTTACCATTTGCAGTGGATGGAACCAGAGGGTATTATGCTAAATGAAATAAGTCAGAGAAAGACAATTTTCATATGATCTCACTGATATGTGGAATTTGAGAAAGAAGGCAAAGGATCATAGGGGAAGAGAGGAAAAAACGAAACAAGAAGAAACAAGAGAGGGAGACAAACCATAAGAGACCCTTAATCTCAGGAAACAAACTGAGGGTTGCTGGGAGTGGAGGGGGGTGGGAGGGATGGGGTGGCTGGGTGATGGACATGGGAGAGGGTATGTGTTGTGGTGAGCACTGTGTATTGTGTAAAACTGATGAATCACAAACCTGTACCCCTGGAACAAATAATACATATATGTTAATAATAATAATAAAGAAAAACAAAAAAATCCCAATGGATCTACTGTCAAAAAGAAGGGATATAGGAATACAAAATCACATCAATTTTTCACTTCTAAAAAGTATACTAAATTAGAATTGACAACAATTCTTTTAAAATATCTTTTATTGTGAACTTCTCAGCAATTCACAAGATCTGTCACATTCACCTGTGTCCTGTGGGTATTGCACTGATACAGTTGCTGGATAATGTGTGGATAAGATTGGTCCTCCTCTTGTAGAGACAAAGATTCTGAAATCTGTGTGTTCTTACTGTTCATCATCAGGGAGACAATTAATTCTTCTGAACCTGTGTCCCAATCTTCTCTAGCAGTATCTGAAATTTATGCCTCCTCGTTTTCTGGTGGTTCATATTACTGTTCATCATCATTTTGGTTTATCATAGATACCATAGTATAATCTTTCATTGGTGTCTGGATTTTTCTTCAATACACCATCTTTTCCACTTCCTGATTAGTCTTTATAGGCTGCCACTTCTGTATGTTATGTATCTTCAATTTCTTTATGAAACGTTTGTTTTCAGAGCCTCAAATCTATCATTTACACCATTTTCTCAATTACACCATTATCTCAAAGTAAATCTTTATAGTAGCTATTCTCTTGCTGGTGTGTCTTTTCTCTATTTCTGTTCTCTACATGTTTAGTAATATTTCATAAAGAAGGGACTAAATTTGCTATTTGACTTCATCTTTAGTGTTCTTGGAATCTGATTCAATGGGAACCTCTCTACTAATATTCCTCTATTCTATCTCTAATATCTGTAATATTTACCTCTGTGGTAAAATTAGGATGGGTAATCATGAAGGAAGAGATGGGGAAAGTAGAAATAAATCTAACACTACAACCGCAGATAAGTTCGCAGGCAGATCAATTTTCGGAAGGGACATACAGAAATGGAAACTGATTCCTTAAAAGTGTTCATATCTTTATTGCTAATGGGTATGGGGTTTCTTTTGGGGGTGATGAAAATGTTCTAGAATTAGATTGTGGTGACATTGCTCAATTCTGTAACATAAGAAAAAACACTGAACACTCTAAATGGATGACTTTTGTGTGTATGAAATATATCACAATAAAGTCATTTTTTTTTTAGGAAAGAAAAACCTTGAGATATCTGTATACCCCTTGGGGTCTTCAAGTCATTTAAATATCAGGCTTTAGAGACTATACAATCCACACAGAAAAATGGTTAATAACACAATCCTTAAATTTAGAAAGATGCCTAGGTTTAAATTTTGGTTTCATACTTACTGTGGGGTTAAAAGTCAATTAGTTAATGTCACTGGGCATTAGCTTTCTCAGATAAAGTGGGGATAACAACACTGCTTTGTCCAGAAGCAGGGATGGAAACAGGATTTTTGCTCAAGTCGTACACTATAGGAGCACTCTAGGTGAAGAGTAGGGTAGAACCAGGGCAAGAGGCTAGTGACAATGTGGTCTCAGCAGGATCCAGCTTAGATTTAGATCTGTTTCCTCAAGGAAGTCGGTCAGCCGTGGGCCAAAGTCTGAGGGGACATTGGGGCAGGATGCAGTCCTCCAGGCTGGTGGCTGTCTGCTGTTGTGTGGCCACCACTCAGTGCCCCTAGAAGAGGATGCCCTTGCCAGTAAAGGGCGTCTGGGTTGGGCACTACCAGCATTTACTACTCATTCCTCCCCACAGTTTCGCTGTAGGAAGGCACAAGACGAGACACAGTACACCATCACTGTGAAGGTCCACACAGCTCCTGGCACGTAAGAAGTACTTTATAAATGGCAGCTATTTTTTTGCAGGACATAAAATATCAGACACACGGACAAAGAAATTAATTACAAATATTGTATAGCGCCATCCAGTCAGGAAATCTTACCGTACATGTTGCTTCTTCATCAAATGAGAACGTGTGATTTATTGAGCATGCTTCATGACGAGGTGGTAAAGGAGTAACTTTGAGTGGGCTTGTCCAACCTGAAAACAAAGATGCATGTGCTTTGGGTTAAAAATGTGATAGAGGTTTTTTTTGTTGTTGTTGGTTTCTTTTTCTTCCACCAGAAATATTTCCTATGAGAAAGCCACACTGTGTGATGTGAACTGACATTTCAATGGATTATATAACAACTTTTCTTAGCAGTGAGAACTGAATAGCTCTGGAATTTACATGTTAGGATAATGGTAGTAGTGCAGAATTATTTGTTACTACTCATTATTTGAAGAAGTCTGTTGAGTACTATGAATCTGCAGATGAGCATGTAGGGGATGTATTAGGGATGGTGGCACCACAGAGGAGTCTGGTTACTATGCAGATAAGTTATCTAATGATAGAAGTCCTAAGAGACTAGCGAATATGCACACAGACTACAACAAATATTTACTGTGTTGTAAATGGAAGTAGATGCGTACACAAAGACAGAAGAGGGGGTTCCTGGTTTTGAGGTGCTCATGAATAAGTGGAAAATACAGTCATGTTAGTAGATAGCTTCAGGGTCGTGTAGCAACTGTAATAATACTTGTTCTCTGTGCGCTGTGGGAGTGCAGAGGAAGAATACTAGCCCAGCTGGATTGTGGGGAGTTAAGAACATCTTCCTGAAGATAATATTTGATCAAACCTTGACAAAGGGGAAGTCAGGAAGATTAGAGTCTGAGAAAGCCTCGATACACCACTGTTGACTTGGAAGACAGAGGAGGCCGTTTGCGAAGGGGCACAGGTAGCCTCCAGGACGAGGGTGTCCCTGGCTGTCCGGGACGGGGAATCTGACACCTCCAATGCAAGGAACCGGGTTCTGTACAACCTGAATGAGCCTCAGGTAGATTTTTCCCAGACACTGCAGGTTTGGGCAGTTAGATCCTGAATAGAAAGCCAGTTGAGCCTGCCCTGTCTTCTCACAAAACTGGGAGCTAATAAATGGGTTCTGTGTGGGGCTGCTGAGTCTGTGGTACCTTGTCACAGCAGCGAGGGAAAATAGAGGTAGAGGCAAGAGGCGAAGGCAAAGTGAGAGAGGCAGTGCTGAATCCCACGATCATTCCAGGTTTGAGAATAAGGATAATTCTGTCTGTGATCCAGCTGACTGAAGGAAACCCTCAGAAGACTATTGTGCCAACAGCAGCAGGATGGCACTTTGAGGTTCCACTGAAGCAGCTGCTTTGGAAAAGGAGGAAAATAGGAAAACAACAGAACCTAAAATTTGATTTTTAGGCCAGAGTAGGAGATAGGGGGATAGGGAACAGGACATTGAATTACAGCTATGCACCTCAGGGCAGGACATCCATGCCTAAGTATGATGATGTCATTTCCCTTACCTCGTTTCAGTGTCTCCTGCTGCCAAACAAAGCACGCCAAAGCCGAGCATCTTAAGCAACCATTCGTCGTCTCCCAGTACTCTGAAGCTGGTCTGGGTGTTGTAGGTCATGTGCTACAGCTTGGGATTGCTCAAGAGGCCCAAAATTATCTCACTCACTGGCTGGCAAGTGGGTGTTGACTGTTACCAGGGAGCTGAGCTGGGTCTGCTGACCAGTGCCTTGTTTTTTGTTACTTTTCTTTCCCCCTATGGGCCTTTATAGAATTTTCACAAAATAGTGACTGAGAATCCAGAGGAAGATCCCAAGAGGTCCAATCCCAATTTGCAAGTACAAAAAAAAGTCTCCACTTGCAGCATGGTTGCTAATATAGGTGAGAGCCCAGAATCAACATGGGAAGGAAACAGACCTCACCTCATGGTAGGAGGGTGGCAGGCACTCACAGGAAGGAGTGAGCTGCCAAGGGTCACCTTTGGGACCAGCAATTACACACCTCCTCCTCATAATGCACCATCTCACTTCACCACTTTCACGCCACCAAACAAATATCAAGTCCTTTGTAAAGGGAAGCACTGTGCTATTTCTTCACTTATTAGAGATGTAACATGTTTGAAACTGATATTTTCATCGTGAGTTGGTTTTGTATGTAACCCATGAAATTGAGTGAGTTTGGAGGGATCTGCCATGAACACTATTTTTCCATAGGCCCTATTATTTTTATTATAAAACATTTCTACAATGTTTTAAAGAAACAAAACTTTAACAGAAAGATTTAAGGACTATTCTATGTATATTTTCTTATTCATGTGTTTTCCCTCCTCTAATGGTTAGAAATACATTTTTCAACATCTAAAATACCGTTGTTAGTGGTCTTCTCTGAGTTTTCTTTCTCCATATAGCTAAAGATAGGTCAATTTTGTTATTTTCGAAGAACCAGGTTCAGGTTTAGTTGATTTTTTCTACTTCTCTGTTCTCTACTTTATCTATATGCACCAAACATAGACCTTCAATATATATGATGCAAATATTGACAAAATTTAAGGGAGAAGTAACTCTACACTAGTAATTGGAGACCTCAATATTTTACTTTCAGTAATGGATAGAACAACTAGACAAAGATCAATAAGGAAATAAAGAACTCAAACAAAAATCTGTCACAAAAGACATATACAGAACGCTTTATCCAACAGAATACCCAAGCAGAACACATATTTTTCTCAGGTGCACATGGAACATTCTATAGAACAAATTATATCATAGGCCATGAAATAGGACTTTATAATTTTTAGAAGACTGAAATCATGCAAAGTATATTTTCTGATCACAATGGAATCAAAGTAGAAATCAACAAAATGGAATGAACTACAAACCAATATAGGAAAATTAAACACCACACCCCTGAATAACCAAAGCAGAAATCACATGGAAAATTAGATATCTCGAGAAAAATGAAAACAAAAACACAATACAACAAAAGTTATGGGATTCAACAAAAGTAGAACTAAGAGGGAAGTTTATTGGTATAAACACTTATCTTAATGAAGAAAGATCTCAAATGAACAACCTAAATATAACTTAAGGAAGTACAAAAAAAAGAAAGAAAGAAAGAAACTAAACCCAAAGCTAGCAGAAAGAAGGAAATAAAGATCAGAGTAGAGATACACAAAATAGAGAAGAAAAAAACAATAGAATCAATGAAAGCAAGAGGTGTTTTTTTAAAATATAAAAAAGAAATTGACAAACATTTAGCTAGATGGACTCAGAAAAAAAAGAGAAGACTCAAATAAACTAAAATCATAAATGAGAAAGGGGACAGAACAACTAATATTTGTTGGAGGAGTCGTCAAGAGGATGTGACTACCTGTGAGCTGGACTCTGGCATGGGAGGCTTCTCACCCACTCCCCTGTCCTAGAAATGTACTTTCTGCCCACCGTTCCCCCAGCAGGAGCTGTTTCAAGAATGTAGCCCAGAGTAAGGTGTTGTTGAGACCATCTGGATGGTAATATGAATGAACCCTGTTAAGGTCTTTATACAGACTTTTAGGATTCCAAAAGCCAGGTGTGGAGATCTACTTGTCTTGCAGCCCCCAAGACAAGCCTTGTATGTAAGTTCTCTTTCTTATTAAACCTGCCACTTACCCATCTGGGGTGACCTGCCTCTTTATTTGTTCTCTCTCTGCCCTCCATGTATGAGGGCCAGTTTTAGATTTCACCCAAAGAACTCCTGAGGTTGCAAACTAACAAATTTACAGAAATAAAAAGGATAAGAATGTACTATGAACAACGCGCACCAACAAATTATGTAACCTAGATGAAATAGACAAATTCCTAGAAACAGACAACCTACCAAGACTGAATCATTTAGAAACAGAAAATATGAACAGATCTGTAACTAATAGGGAGAATCAATAATCAAAAACTTCCCAACAAAGAAAAGCTCATGACCAGACGGCTTCACTGGTGAATTCTACAGAACATTTAAAGAGAAATTAATACCAATCCTTCTCAAACTCTTCCAAAAATACTGAAGAGAAGGGGATGCTCCCAAACGCATTCTATGAGGCCAACATTACCTTGATACCAAAGTCAGACAAAGGCACTACAAGAAAACTACAGATCAATATCCCTGATAAATACTGATGCAAAAATCCTCAAAATACTAAAAAATAGAATTTAACAACACATTGAAAGTATTATACACCATGACCAAGTGAGGTTTATTCCTTGAATGCAAGGAATTGTATTTGTGTATTGTTGGTGGCAATTTAAAATGGAGTAGCCACTATGGAAAACAGTATGGTGGTTTCTCAAAACATTAAACATGGAATTACCATGTAATTGAGCAATTCCACTTTTGGGTATTTACCCCAAAGAACTGAAAGCGGGGTCTTGAAGAGATTTACACCCCTAAGCAGTATTATTCACAATAGCCAAAAGGTGAAGCAACCCAAGTGTCCACCGATGGATAAATAAACAAAATGTGGTATATACATAAAAAGGAAAATTATTTAGCCTTAAAAAGAAATTCTGGTACATGCTACGACGTGAACATTTTTATTCACGAGGACATTATGCTAAATGAAATAAGCGTCACAAAAAGACCAATACTTTATGACTTCACTTATATGAGGTTTCCAGAGTAGCCAAATTCTGAGACAGAAAGTAAAATGGTGATTGCCAGGGGCCCAGGGAGAAGGGGAGGAGATAGGAAGTTAGTATTTAATCGGTACAGTTTCTGTTTTTTAGATGAAAAGTGTTAAGGAGATGAATAGTGGTGAAGATTGCACTTAATACCAATGAACCATACACTTAAAAATGGTTGATTGTTATGGAGTAAAAGTTTGTATACCCCACCCCCCCAATTTGTATATTGAAACTTTTACCCCCAATGTGATGGTATTTGAAGGTTGGGCCTTCAGGAGGGAATTAGGTTTAGATAAGGTCTGGAGAGTGTGGCTTATATGATAGGATTACTTTCCTTATAAAAAGAGGAGGAGAGACCAGAGCTGTCTCTCTCTCTCTGCCTGGGGAGGGAACAGCAAGAAGCAGGCCCTCTGCAAGCTAGAAAGAGGGCTCTCACCAGGAACCAAGTTACCCTGTATCTTGATCCTGGACTTCCCAACCTAAATAAATGCCTGCTGCTTAAGCCACCCAGTCTACGGTATTTTGTTTTAGCAGCTTGAGCTGAGACAGTAGCTAAAAAAGAAAAAAGCAGAAAGATACACAAAGAGTTATAAGTGTTGATCTTAGGAAGCTGAATACAGGAAAATCAAGGCTGTGATAATAGGCAACCTCTATTTTTCCTGTGATAAGGAAGATGTGTCATCTCCTGTAAGGAGAGGCAAAAAGACCAAAGAAAGGTTTGAATATAATTAGGATAAGTTTAGAGTACTTGATTAGTGTATGAGAAAGAAAGCCAACTAGGAACAAAAAAGTACCGAATCCAGTTGTCTAGACAAAGTTGGAATAAAGCAAGAAATTGGCAATATAATCTTTTGTGATATCGTTTTGGTATTTATGAAAGCCCAATGAAAAGCATATTCATGTGTGATATAGTTAATTTTACAAAGACATTCTTAGAATGTATTCGAAATTATGTGTATTTAGATTTGCTAAACACCGAAAGTACTTATTATTTATAATTAATGATTATTTCCAAGATCTACAAAATCACTGAAAACCTAGGACAAATTATATTGAACCAAATCATGGACCACCAGTATTACTCTTTGAAACTGTAATAGCTAATATTAACAGCTACTATTAATTGAATGCTTTAACCAGGTTCCAGGAATTTTGTTAAGTGCTTTACATGTCTTAATTCTTTTAATCCTTACAATTGTATAAAAGAAGTACTCTTATTGCCAAGGAATTGAAAATTCTGGACTTTCTAATAGCTAACATTTATTGGTGCATTCCTCCATGTCAGATATCTGTACGTGAATTATATTAGTCTTCACTATTACCTTATGAAGTATTACTAGTATGTAAATTTACAAATATGGATACACAGGCATGAAGAGCCCTGGGTCATAGTGCAAGTAAGCCTTCTACCAGGACTCAAGCCCAGAAAGTCTACTGAATTCTGTTGTACTGATCCAGGTAGTGAGTACTATACTTGGTTCTGAATTGTTGGTGCAGTCTGTTAACCCTGTTTTCATTTTACGTTAGCTTTAATAAATTATTTCTTCAGCCTCTAATTTGTTGTAATAATGTTTTGAGAGTCCAATCTTAGAAAAACTTACAAACCAAAAATATTGTTCTTAAAAACTACATAGGCTAGGGTTTACTGCTTACAAGCAAAGTGGTATACTTGTCTAAAATAGGACTACTAGAAAAAACTTCAATTCCTTTAAAGACATATTCCTGACAATGACTACTATTTTACATTGAAACATTACCAAAAGAGTGAGCTCAAGCTCTTTTCTTCACATACTGTCCCCTTAGGCCTCTAGTCTATGGCCAGATGCACCAGTGGAGGGGGTGCGGCCTCTGGCATAGACAAAGCTTAGCTCTTGCTACAGCATTTGGTCTTTTCCTTTCCACATGCTCAGAGATGTTAACCTCCCTGTACTTCCTGCTTGCCAGACACACCTCCATACAAAAATACACCATGAGGCTTTCCTTTGGAAGTGTTCCTTCCTTTCTGGACCAGGCCTGTGACACTCTCTGGGAGTTCTCACAGAGAAACCGTAAGATATAGCTATCAGTAAGGGGTCATCAATTCTGTGTCCAGGACTGTGGAAGGGTTGCTTCCTAACAGACCCCCAAATCTACTTTCAAGTACCTTCCCATTTCATTTCAGCTCCTGTGACCTCTTTATAACCACCAGCAGATTTGGTTTTTCAAGGGAGACAGATAGATATGGAAGCATGCTACACGATTATCAAAACGAAACATATATGCCCTTCTGGAAAAATTAGGTTAGCCATAGGTCTAGAATAAATTATCTGATACACACTTTGTGTTGGTCACTTATCCTAATTAATGCACTTTTTAAAAAACTTTTTTTACGAATAGGTTTATAAAAGGCTAATCATTCTTACTAGTTTTTCCTTACAATCTATAATTTAAGAGTTCCTTATTCACTTCTTTATAATTTTATGTGAAATTTACTGCTAAATACTCAGACTTATATCCACACTCTTCTCCCTTGTTTGAAGGTTTAAAAATTATGAAGTCCATGTCACTTTACTTACCTCCAAGTCTTGCTCTGATGGAAATGTCTGGTATTGCCCTGGAATTCCATCTCCTGTCCTGTTTTAGTTCTTCTAATAAAATGTTTTGCCTTTTCAGTGTTGTTTGAAATCCTGTGTCTGGCCTGGGAACTCGATGTTGCGGTTTCACATCACTGGAATCCACCAGGCTTGGTATGGTTCTGCCAATGCCGGGCTTTAAATCAGCATCGCCACCAGGACTCAAAAACCCGGAACAGGCATCACCCAAGGGCACATCATCCCGAAGTGGAAATAATGGATAATCTCGCCCATATGGTGGGGGATAAGGATAGTGTAAATGGTAGTCTGGCAGGACGGAAGGGGGATAAGGGTGAAATTTAAGAAAAGTAGGGTTGCATTTCTTTTCAATTCTGCCATAGTTATGTCTGTCTTCAACTCCTTTCACAAAAGGCATGTTCATTTTCCTTAAGAGATTATGGTAGTGTGGGTAATCTATATTCTCAACAGCCTTTTTTCCTGAAAGGATGGACCTTTCAGAGATACTTATCTTTCCAGGTTTGGACTGTGAATCCATATCCATGGCCTTTCTCTTTAGAATTTTGGATGACTGTAAATTAAGTGCTTCTGAAGACTCCTTTCTATTTAACTATAAAACTTATTATGTCCAATAATTGAGGATTGGTTAATCTAACATAAAGTTACTGAATTGGTTTTATAAATGTTGATTGTTGTTTTTTTTTTTTAAGGTAAATATTTTTTCTCTACCAAAAGAAGTATAGGGCAGTAAGGGACCAGGACAGAAAAAGCAAAACAAGAATCCTTGTTGCTTGGCAACAGCTAGAACTCTAACACATTGGACCATTTACTATATACGTCATAATTTAATTCTTAGGAAAAACAAAAATAGCCATTAGTAATATTTTCATGATAGTTTCTTTCCCACTGTTCATTTGTTACTTATTTTTAAACGTTTCCCTAAGTTGAACTTTTATAAGTAAATGATATTCACTAAAGAGTATAAAGCAGTTAATCAAGTAAGAATATATTTTTAAAGTATATATCTGACTAAAATTATTTACATTATAGATATAATAAATTACAAAACTCATTACCTAAATAAATGTAAATTTAAATGCAGTGCAAAGAATGAACAGGTATTATAGCATAGTTAATTCAGTGCACCTAATTTTTAAGAAAAATAAGTAATTAATATTCAAAGTACAAGTTCATCTTTAAAATGTTCTAAATTACCTTACCTTTTGGCTACCAGTGTACAGAATAAGACCAATGGGATTTTTGAACTCATTTCAGAAAACTACAATAAGGTAGGCGCTATTAGGTCACATGTAAAAAAAAAAAAAGTACCATTACTATATTGGTCATTTCAATGAGATAATTTGGACTTGCATGAAAACTGCTACCACAGGAATTCCAAATATTGGAATTTGGGCACAGGGATCACACCATCCCTTCTGGGGTAAAACCAAACCAAACCACCAAAACAAAACAAAAACAAAAAAGCCCACGCAAACATGAACGAGAAACCTACTTTCGTATTTCCAGCACCTGGCTTTCCATCTTCAGATTCACAGCATACATGAACTACAATCTCCAATGTAACATCCTATTCTCAGGTCGAATATTAGGAATTTACACAGTAGATGAAGGTAGGAGGAACTGATGAACTGAAGCAAATTCTTTTATTTTTTTTTTTAAGATTTTATTTATTTATTTGAGAGAGAGAGAATGAGAGACAGAGAGCACAAGAGGGAGGAGGGTCCGAGGGAGAAGCAGACTCCCTGCCGAGCAGGGAGCCCGATGCGGGACTCGATCCCGGGACTCCAGGATCATGACCTGAGCCGAAGGCAGTCGCCTAACCAACTGAGCCACCCAGATGCCCAAACTGAAGCAAATTCTCGATGGCAGAAAACAAAGAGTCAATGACAGTCAAAAGTCCATCTGGTATTGTGCGGGTTTACCTGTTTATAAAAATTAACAGGAGCTTTAGCAGGGCATATACCTAGACGTAGTGACTGGGCACTATTCAGTAATATGTATTTATTGGATGTGCTCAAAAACCCTGCAAGGTCTTGACCAGAATGCTGGCTAGATCTAAATCCTACTAAAACATGCTCGAGCACAGTAAGTTTATTTTTTTAAAGATTTTATTGCTATTTTAGAGAGAGACAAGAGAGACAGAGGGGCAGTGGGAGAGGGAGAATCTCGAGCAGACCCCATCAATCCCCCCACCCCAGCGGGACTGATCCCAGGGCTCTGAGATCACGACCTGAGCGGAAACCAAGAGCGGAGGCTTAACCACCCGAGCCACCCAGGCGCCCCTCCAGCACAGTAAATCCAATTCAGAACCTTCTACAGACAAGAATCTCTCAAGATGTAAATCTACTCAGTGGAATAAACAGGGCTGTGTACAGTTTACCAAACGATTAACACATGCATAAAAATAGCCAGAAAACTCAAGGAACATCCCGATCCTGGTCCAGAACGAGCCCCATTTCTTTCTGCTTTTTCTTTCCTTGCTCCCTTTTCTCCTCCTTCCTTCCTTTTTTAAATTTATAGCGATCTGAGCGCGTACTGTGTGCCAGGAACTATGTTTTGGTTGAGGTTAAAACGGTGACGAAATGGCCAAGATCCTCGCCTCGAAGGGTCAGACACGAGCTCGGAGGTCCGGCCCGCTGCCGACAGCGAAGGCAACGACGCCCGTCATTCAGCGGCTCACACCCCCTCCGGTGCGCCGGCTTCAGCCGCACGAGGTGCGTTCGCGCCGTAGCTCCGTTCCCGCCGAGCCCGTCCTTCCCGCCGCGGGCCCGAGGCACGACGCTCTGAACACGTTCCGGCCGGAAATGCAGACAGGCGTCTTCACGTACTTCACGTACAGGCCGAGCGCCGCACGGAAGTCGACCCGCTCTGTCCCGCCCACTAAGCCTCTCTGCGGGGCTTACGGGTCTGACTTCCGGCCGCACCGCTGCGCGTGCGCCGAGCCAGCCATCCACGAAGCTCAGGCAGGTGATGTCGAGGCCAGGCAACCCGCGAGGGCGGGACGCGCGCTCGCGCGCTCGGTTCCCACAGCCCCCGTGCGGAAGCTCGGGCCGCCAGCTCCGGAAACGGCCTCTCTCGGCCCACCGACGCGCACTCAAAGGGGAGGGCGCGGGCTGTGGGGTCCGCGGTTCTTCTCCAGCACCAGAACCTTCGGCAGGGCCCCTGATTGGCGCCCAGGTTCCGAAGGACCGCTCACGGACGGCACGGACGGCGGCGCTGCGGCCCTCCGTTGGCGTCGAAGCACACGGCCCAGGCGACAGCCCGCCGCGCCCCGCCCCCGCCCCGACGGAAGTGGCGGCCCGTCCTTCCGGCCTTCCTTCCGGCCCGCCGCCCGCCGACTTCCGGCCGGCAGGTGGGCGCGCGCCGCATAACGATCTTATGCGCCGACGGTCGGCAGGCGGCGGCGGCGGCGGCGAGTGGATGGAGGCCTCGGCCCCCGGCCGGCGGCGGCGGCGGCGGCAGGGCTGGCGGCGGGCCCCGGCCGCGGGCTCCCCGCTCACCTGGGCCGCGGTCGTCCTCCTGCTCTCCGCCTTCGTGGCGCGGGCGTCCCCGTCAGGTGAGGCGTGGGCGCCGCCGCCACGGGCTCCGCGGGGCGCCCCTCCCGCCCGGGGCTGGCCTCCCCGGGTCACGTGCGCCCGCCGAACCGAAGAAGCGCCGGTACCGGCCGGAGGGGGTGTGTTCGCGTAAACCCTGCAGAAGACCTTGCGCTCGCGCGTGGTGCCGGTGACCGGAGAGACTGTTGCCGCTCGGGCAGAAGCGCTCCGGGACAACCTCCGAGCACGGTGTCCAGTTAGCCTGGCTGCGAATCGCCTCCCTGGCCCGCCCCCCGGCTGCCCCGCCGACCCCTCCCCCCCCCCCGCTGCCCCACCAGCCCCGCCGGACGCGGGGTGCCCGCCTCCCCTCTGTGCGGCACGCACGGCTTGGGCCGCCCCGCACGTCCCTGTCCTGGGTCCCGCAGCTCCCCCTGTCGGTGGTAGTTACAAAATGCAGGGAACCCTGGGACGGCCCAGTGGATTCGCGCGAGCACACTGAAGGGAGGGCTTCAGCCGCCGTCGGGCAACCGAGGAGGTTTTGGCTGCAGTATTTTGTGCTCAGATGTTAGACTGTAAAAATGAAGTATTGGATTAAAAAAACTCAAAAGAGATTTGGTCAAAATGCTAAAAACTGTACAAAGGAGGAGAAACGAGAGCGCTTCTCCAAGGAAGTAAATGTGGAAGGATTGTGGAGGAAGGCATGGGATAAGGAGGAGAAAGGAAAGAAGTGGGAGTGAATGCGTAGTCGTTCTAAGTAGGCGAGAGCTGATGACCTCTAATTAGCCTGCAGGAGAGGATGCTTCTTGGCCATGGCCCATGGTATTGCACCAGATAGGGTCGTGGGGGTGGGGGGTGGGGGGGTGGCGGGGTGGCGTGTGCGATCTTTAGATCCAGTCGCAAGATGAGACCTGAGGACAGAAGACCTAAAATAGGCAATGCCTTAATTCTTAAGCGCTGAGTAGTAAAGATACTCACATAGCATTTGTACCACCTTCCGTTCAGTCCCTGCAGTAACGCTGTGAATCCGAGATGGCAGTCTCATTTTGCAGATGAGAAAAGCGGAGATGCTAGAGTTTAAGGTGACTTTCCTAAGGCCAGTAAGTGGTCTTCTGACTTCGAATATACCCTCCTCCCACTCTGTTAAATGTTCTTTGGGTGGATGCTGTATTCCGTTTTTTTTTTTTTAAATTTTCTTTTTTTTTTTTTTTTTTAAAGATTTTATTTATTTATTTGAGAGAGAGAGAATGAGAGAGAGCACATGAGAGGGGGGAGGGTCAGAGGGAGAAGCAGGCTCCCCGCCGAGCAGGGAGCCCGATGCGGGACTCGATCCCGGGACTCCAGGATCATGACCTGAGCCGAAGGCAGTCGCTTAACCGACTGAGCCACCCAGGCGCCCCTCCGTTTTTTTTTAATACTGCTCCTCCTACCACTTGGTCTGTGTACACGCTTAGGTCCATTTGCTCATTCAACAATGAAGAATCTCAGAATATATCGTATTTAACTATTATTTAGTTTGTCTTATGTGCAGGATGCTTGGTACTGATTCTTGATAAGTTGACATAAACATTGATCCTACTATTAATGGATCCTGCTATCAATAGAGCTTATAATCTAACGAAAAATTATATACGTGCCTAAAGAGCTATAATACAATACAATGTAGACTGCCACGAAAGAGGTGCTGATGATGGAAGTAAGGGAATATGGGAAGTGATAAGGACAAACAAGGTTTGCAGGAAGTGGGACTTGTGATTTGGGTCTTGAAGCGTGGGGGATTTGGATTTTGGAAAAGAGTATTCTGAGTGGTTGTAGAAAAAATCCTGAGATGAGGTGCAATGGGGGACGCAGTGAGTAGGGTAATTTCACTGGCGCGTAAGGGAGAGAGTGGAGTCAGAAGGGAGATGCCAGATGTTGCAAGAGATTGACTTACCGTTCCTCCTTCAACCGAGATCAGATATACTGTGATACTCTGCTATTTGAATATCTTGGAATTTCTAATGAGGCAGATTGCTCATCATTTCTTTTTGTTTTTGATAGTTGGATCTTTGATTCGATTACCAAGAGGTTTTCGCTTGACCCAAGATAAGGTGAAAATAGTGGGATCATCAAATTTTCCAGGTATTAATATAGATGTTCAGTACTTTTAAGAAAGTATTTAGCATTTGTTTAAATTTTATGAATCTTGTCCAAAAGGCTAATGTTCCCCAGACATCCTAGTCTCCTAAGGCCCTTTTCCTTCTGTGGAAATGGATTAGAGTTATTTTCATATGGTTTGATTCATCCAGCTCTGATTCTGTTTGCTATAACTGCCTAAGTGGGTGAAAATAATTATTTCTAGAAGCTATCTAATTAAAGTTGTCTATAGTGTTTCTGCTTGTTATTATATAATTATTAGCCATAATACTAAACATATGCAGTTCAAATATGCTAAAATTTTTTTCAGATGAGATCTATATTAAAAGGGTTTTGGATTCATAAGCTTTTGCAGTACTCATATGAGAGGCATAGCAACTAAAACTTTTTTGGTGGTGTGGTGTTTTGTTTTGTTTCCTGGGGTAAATTTGCATGCTTAAAATTCCTCCTTTGAAGTGAACATTCCAGTAGTTTTTAGTACACTGACAAGGTTTTGTAACCATCACTATGTAATACCACAGCATTTTGATAGCTCCAAAAAGAAACATCGTACCCAGTAAGCGGTCACTCTCCAGCCCCTGGAAACCACTAATATACTTTCTCTCCCTATTAATTTCCCTGTTCTGGATATTTTATGTAAGTGGAATCCCTACATGATGTGGTGCTTTGCATTTGGCTTCTTTCACTTAGTATAGTGTTTTGGGGTTTATTCATGGCATAGAGTGTATGGGCACATAATTCCATTTTATGGCTGAGTGATAATCCATTGTATGGATATACCACTTCTTGTGTATCCATCAGTTGATGGATTTGGGGGCAGTTTACACTTTTTGGCTATATGAACAATGCTGTTACCAGCATTCCTGAAGAAGTTTGTGTGTGAATCTGTTTTCAGTTCTCCTGAATATATACCTTAGAACATAGGGTAACTCTGTGTTTAACATTTTGAGGAACTGCCAAACTATTTCTTCAAGAGCCTTTATTATTTTACTTTTATATCAGCAACGTATGAGGATTAACATTTTACAGCATCCTTGCCAACATTTGTTACTGTTTATCTTTTTTGATTATAGCCATCCTATTGTGTGTGAAGTGGATTTTCAAGTGGTTTTGATTTGCATTTCCCTAATGTCTAATGATGTTTTTAAGATCTTTTTATGTGTTTAATGGACGTTTGGGTATCTTCTGTGCAGAAATGTCTGTTCAAGTCCTTTACCCATTTTTTAATTGAGGGTTTTATTATTATTGGAAGTTATTTTTTATTTTTATTTATTTTTTTTTAAAGATTTTTTTTACTTATTTATTTGACAGAGAGAGATAGCGAGAGCAGGAACACAAGCAGGGGGAGTGGGAGAGGGAGAAGCAGGCTTCCCGCCGAGCAGGGAGCCCGATGCGGGGCTCGATCCCAGGACCCTGGGATCATGACCTGAGCCGAAGGCAGACGCTTAACGACTGAGCCACGCAGGCGCCCTATTGGAAGTTATTTTTAATACATTCTGGATACCAAACCCTTATTAGATACTTGATTTACAAATATTTTCTCCAATTCTGTGGATTGTGTTTTCACTTGAAAAAAAAATTTTTTTTAATTTTTAATTTTAGTTCTAGCATAGTTAACATGAAGTGTTATATTAGTCTCAGGTGTACGATATAGTGATTCAACAATTCTGTACATTACCTAGTGCTCATCACACACGGTAAGTGTGCTCTAATCCCCTTCATCTATTTCTCCCATCCCTCCACCCACCTCCCCTCTGGTAACCATCTGTTTGTTCTCTATAGTCAAGAGTCTGTTTCTTGTTTTGTCTCCCTTATTTTTTTTCCTTTGTTCATTTGTAAACAGCCCAAATGTCCATCTTTGATGAAAGGATTAAGAAGATGTGATATATATATACAATGGGGTATTACTCAGCCATAAAAAAAAGACTGAAGTCTTGCCATCTGCAACGACACGGATGGAGCTAGAGGGTATTATGCTAAGTGAAATAGGTCAGAGCATGACAAACACCGTATGATTTCACTTTGCGAAATTTAAGAAACCAAACAAATGAATAAATGTGTTTTCACTTTTTTGATAGTGTCCTTTAAAGCACACATTTTAAACTGATAAAGTCTAATTTCTATTTTGTTCTTTGGTACTGGTGTGTTAGGTGCTGTATCTCAGAAACAACTGCTTATTCAGCAGTCATAAAGTTTTACTCCTGTATTTTTTCTAAGAATTTCATAGTTTTAGCTCTTATGTTTAGGTCTTTGATCCATTTTGGATTAATTTACAAGATCAAGGTCAAACCTCATTCTTTTGCATGTGAATATTCAGTTGTTCCGCATCATTTGTTCAAGATATTGTCTTTCCCTATTGAATTTTCTTAGTACCCTGTCGAGAAGCAGTTTGTGGTAGATGTTTGGGCTTTTTTTTGGACTCTAAATTCTATTTCATTGATCTCTGTCTCTGTCCTTATGCTAGTACCACGCTGTCTTGATTTCTGTTGCTTTAAAGTAAGTTTAGAAATCATTAAGTATGTGTCCTTCATATTCAGTCTTTCTCAAGATTGTTTTGGCTCTATGCTGGGTCACTTGCAACTCCATATTAATGCTAGAATCAGGTTGTCCATTTCTGCAGAAAAGCCCATTGGGATTTTAGTAGGGATTGCCTTGAAGTGTAGATCAATTTTGGGAGTGCTACCAACTTAACCATATTAACTTTTCCAATTCATGAACTTGGAGTATCTTTCCATGTACTTAGATCTTCTTTAACTCCCCTCAGTGATGTTTTATAGCTTTCATTGCACAAGTCTTGCACCACTTTTGTTAAATTTATTCCTAAATATTTTGTTCTTTTTGATGTTGTAAATGGAACGGTTTTATTTTAGGTTTTGGATTGTTCATTGCTATTATATAAAAATACAATTGAATTTTTCAAATTGTTGTTGTATTCTGTCACCTTCCTAAATCATTTATTAGCTCTATTTTTTTTTTTAGTTGGTAGGGGAGTTATTTCTTAGGATTTTCTAGATATAAGATCATGTCATCTGAATAGAGATAGTTCTATTTTTCCCTTTCCAATGTGGATGCCTTTTGTTTTTTTTTCCTTGCCAGTTGCTCTAGCTAGAATCTTCAGTTCAGTACCGATGGTAACAGTATCATCACACATGGTAAAAGTCTTATTTCTGATCTCAGAGGGGAGGAAAGGTTTCAGTCTTCCGCTATTAAATGTGACCTACCTGTGAGGTGTTTTTTTCTTTTCAGGATTGTTTTATTTTTATTTCCACAGCACAATGGAGATAATTTTTTTTTTGTATTATTATATTAATCACCATACATTACATCATTAGTTTTTGAGTTTTTGTAGATGAATTTTATCAGATTGAGAAAGTCCCTTCTGTTCCTAGTTTGTTGAGTGCTTTTATTGTGAAAAAGTGTTGGATTTTGTCAAATCCTTTTTCTGCATACATTGAGATGATTGTGTGTTTTCTGTCCTTTGTTCTATTGATATAATTTGGTATTATATTGATTGATTTTTGTATTTTGAACAAGTCATGCAATCCTGGTTGATTATGATGCATAATTCTTTTCCATGCTGCAGGATTGGCTGTTACTATTCTGAGGATTTTTAGGTCTGTATTCATAAGGGAAATTGTTCTGTAGTTTTCTTGTGTTGTCTTTGTCTGATTTTGGTTTTAGGGTAATAGTGGCTTCATAGAACAAGTTGGGACATGTTCCCTCCTCTTCTGTTTTTTTTTTTTAGGAGTTTGTGAAGTGTTGTTAATTGGACTTCTACTTGTTTAGTGAAATTCACCAGTGAATTCACCTGGTGCTGGGCTTTTCTTTGTAGGAAGATTTTTAATTATTAATTCAGTCACTTTACTTGCTTCAGGTCTATTCAGACTTTGTTTTTCATTATGGTTTCTGATGAGAAATAAGCTACTAATTTGAGGATCATGTGTATGTAACAAGTTGCTTCTCTTGCTGCTTTCCAGAGTCTGTCTTTTTGGACTTAACAGATGATTATGATGTGTCTAGGTGTGATTCTCTTTTGAATCTATCCTAGTTTGAGTTCATTGAGCTTATTTGATGTGTAGATTGATGCTTTTCATCAGTTTGGGGAAGTTTTATCATTATTTCTTCAAATATTCTTTGTGCTCTTATACTTTCCACCCTTCTGTGGAACTTGTATTATGTATACAGTGGCGTGCTTGATGGTTTCCCACAAGTCTCTGGGTACTGTTCATTTATTTTTCTTTTTTCCTCTTTCTTAGACTGGATAATCCCAAATTGATCTATCTTGAGGTTTGCTGATTCTTTTTTCTGCCTGCTCAGGTCTGCTTTTGATTCTTACAGTGAGTTTTTCAATTCAGTTATTGTACTTTTTAATGCAGAATTTCTTTGGGGTTTTTTTTTTTTTAACTTCTATCTCTTTATTGATACTCTTTGTTTGGAGAGAAATCATTTTCATACTTTTTTTTTAGTACTTTAGACATAATGTTCTTGATCGTATTTAAAATAACTGATTTAGTTTTCTTTTTCAACATTCTTCTGGCTATTGGGGTCTTTTCTGGTTCCATACAAATTTTAGGATTATTTGTTCCAGCTCTGTGAAAAATGTCAATGGTATCTATAAAGAACTTATTAAACTCAACACCCAAAAAACAAATAATCCAGTCAAGAGATGGGCAGAAGATATGAACAGACATTTCTCCAAAGACATACAAATGGCCACCAGACACATGAAAAAATGCTCCACATCACTTGGCATCAGGGAAATTCAAATCAAAACCGCAATGATATACCACCTTACACTAGTCAGAATGGCTAAAATTAACAAGACAAGACACAACAAACGTTGACGAGGACGCAGAGAAAGGAGAACCCTCCTACACTGTTGGTGGGAATGCAAACTGGTGCAGCCACTCTGGAAAACAGTGTGGAGGTTCCTCAAGATGTTAAAAATAGAGCTACCCTGCGACCCAGCAATTGTACTACTGGGT